TAAATATTTATTTGTAATTCCTAAAAACCTCTCTAGTTTATCTACCTTGCCATTCTAGAATGTACCTAAAATATTCACTTATGTCATTCTGAACCGTACAATTAAATCAATTACTACTATACATTAGGATTTGAGTAGTATTTAAACATGGTCAGCATTTAATTTGTAAACCTATATGTTGGAATTTATTTTGCGTAAATATTATTATTTGTGTCAGATTCAATTTAGGTTCAGTTTTAGTTATTGTTCGGTTAACTATTATAACAGTTCGTTCACAACAGTTTGTAAAAAAAGAAATAAACGAAACACCAATTTAATGTGGTTCGTATACAATTGTACCCTACATCCACGAGAATCTGTAAGAACGAATATTCACTATCTTAGTTTTACAAGCACAATATTAGAACTTAAACAATAATCTAAAGACTCTCTTTATCTTGACGTCGTTCTTGTGCAATACTCAAAACTAGTAACTCTGATTACTCTTGCCTACTCTCCGCTCGGTTGAACTTCCTTTAACGTCGAATCCCTTAAGTCGGAGGATCGATTTCCTCCGGAGACCGAAAAGCCGATCTTCTTTTTGTATAGAAGAAGCAAACTTGTTATAGCTCTTGGTACTTCATCTTGAAGTCGATATATTTTATATGAAAATAATTTTGCTCACGAAGTTAGAGGAATATAAAAACGAGAGCATAAACACTTTCTTGGAAAATTTCGCTCCATAAAGGCACAAACAAATATAATGCCAAAGCTGCTCTCTTTATACTCCTACGTAAATTAGTTTCCCGCTGAACAAAAATAATCGTATTAGAGAATCATTAGATACCTAGAAACATAGATGTATTCAAGATATGGAAAATCTCTTTTATTTTTCCTCATACATACTATCAATTAATGAAAATTAAAGAATTCAAAATAAACAAGAAAACTTCACATTTGTTTATGCATGATACATGTTGACTTGTTTCACAAGTCTTACTCTTTCCGTGTGGATTAGAATCAAAATATTATCTAACACTATCAAACAAACTTGTAACCATTTACATTTTGATAGTGAAATTCAGACATTCAATACGTAAAAATACAAGTATGTGAGAGATGATCTTAATAAAATATGCTTAAGGCGTCCGAGTTGACTTGCCTTCCTGAGTCGACGGGCCGCCCCTCTGCCTCAGACTATGTGATGTCACACATACATAAAGCTAGAAACTCCCACAGTTATGATATTTCCAATTTTTCGACTTCCTAACCCAAGATTACTTTAATGGATTCATCGCTCAACTCGTCGAATAATTTCCATCCCGACATTAACATTTTTCACATAGTGCCTCAATTTTTCGACAAGAGAATCTCAAGGAAAATATTTATGCAAAAACAGAGGACAAGGAAAATATCTACCACTGTTTCAGACGAGAAACTACAAGATATTATTGAGATTCTTGCAATTCCAATACCTGTTGGATATCCTAGCACATGTGATTAACTGAAGCAATTTATATCTGCGGAATATCCTTCAAAAAGTTATTCAAATTTCTTGAGCACAATTCCAAGAATTTAGAGTTTGCAAGAAAAAAATGAGAACTCTACAACTCAATGCCATTGTTTATAAATTTCTCCCAAGCACGCCGCCCATGGCCCAACTCGGGAGTAGGACGCTTAATCGGACTTTCAGCCCCAAGATCAAATAAACTCAATTAAGAATAAAAAACCAATTATCACCTAAAACTAGAACTCTACGAAAATCCATAGGATTTTGTTAAGAATTCATTATCTCACATCGGATTTCTATCTATTTCATCATCTATACATGTGTGATAACTCAAGTAAGGAGGGACGTGCTAATTTGCAATTAATTAAGCTATTTGGTTATTTGGTGATAGTTTTTTGACTTGAGCGTCAAGAACAATCGTCAGGTCACCTTCGTCGTATCACCCAATATTTTTCAATTGTATTATAGATTAACGAGTGGATAGATCTTTTCGACTATCTCAAACACGTGGCAACAACTCACAACATTCTCTACTCTGCTAGTCTCAAAGACTCTTGGGTTGTCTAATCGACACTTGAGCAATATCATATATTATAACTAGAATTAGCTTTAGCTTTAAATACTTAGTCATTAGTATTAAATCAGAAGTAGCTGTAAATTAAAGCATACATAAGTTTTTACATGGTTTAATAAAAGAATAGTTATGCTATATAGTTTGGCAGAAAAAGGAAAACATGGGGCGGAATTTACAAAATTATTTAGAATCTTAGGATGTATTGTACCAATTATGTAATTCCATGGTGCATTATGCAAAAACTGTACATTTTCAGGGGTTGCCTAAAGGTCAATTACAAGTGTGTACTTTCATTAGTTAATTTTGCACAACAATGTGTAGTTGGGATATATTCATTTGATGACTATTCTCGAGTAACTAATACAAAATGTGTAATTACACTAGTTAATTTCTAAACCTTACATTAACATTGTATCTATTAATAAAATCAATATTATGTTTACTTAATTTTTTTTAATAGTAATGTCAATTCATTTCCCCCTTTTTGTTTTTCTTTTTCTAAACTAAGTATCAAAACCCTATATGTTTCAATAGACATATTTCACTAATACAATATTATATGGAGTTCATTAATTAATTTGTATCAATGGGACCACCACTAACAAATAATTGTTTCTACTTTATATGTATTACTCCCTCTGTTCCACAATAACTGGTTTTTTTTAAAAATATTTTTGTTCCATATTAATATTATCTGTCACTTTAGATTTTCAATACTGCATGAAATGCATTTTTCCTGTTTTAACCTTATTAATTCAACTATAAGTATTAATTATCTGTTATCACATTATTAAATAATCAAGATCATTTTAGTCTTTCTAATATATTTTACCTAAAATCAAGACACATTTATTGAGTTTCTTAATCTTTGTGCAAAGCCAAAAACGACACTTAATAGGGAACGGAGGGAATATTTTCTAATAATATTATTTTGAATTGGATGTTACGAATAAACTATAGAGATAAGTACGTTTTGAAATTGACTGTATAATTTGTCGCTGACACCTTCCCCAACTACAAAATGTAGCAAAACGACCATGTCATCTACCATATGTTTTTATTGCCGACATAGCAAATTGACTTATTAGTTTTAGTAGTTTTTACCTTCTTGACAATTTTACCCTTCCATTGTCTTAAACTATTTGTTCTTGTCAGCAAATTCATTTTTTCTATCAACAAGTTTCAGGCATATTAGCAAACAACTCGGGCACACTTGCCAGTCCTCAGAATCAACATCGGCATCCTCATCTAAGTGACACACATGCAGATGAAACTCGAACATTGTCTCAAATCAGATTTGGCCACAAGCTTTGAAGAAGACGAGTGAGAGCACAAATAGGTTAGACAACTTCAACACTTTTCGGTCCAAATTTGTACACATAAGGAGCTGAGAATTGACTCTTTTTTTCTTCCATGAGTCAAAAGATGAAATCAACACCCTTATGTCAGACTGGGTTAAAAACGAAAAACTCTTGCGGACATACATGTAATTGGATAACGAAAAACAACAACTCGCGACTAGAGGTAATAATGCGAGCAAGAGGAAGTGAAGTCTATTTGGTGTCGGATTTTATTTGAAGTGTTGAACGGAATAAAGTTAGCACCATAAATAATTTGTCAGAACTCTTGAGGGCATAAATGTAATTGGATAAGTTTTTTAACATTTGACCAAAATTAGAGGGATTCTTCTGGTACGTTTTGCAGTTTAGGGGGTGTTTGCAACAAACTCCGCAATTTGATTAATGTATTATTTGATTAAATTCCATGTTGCTTGAAATCAGTAGTCTCTTACTTATATGTATTATTTGATTAAATTCCATCATCTAAATCAAATTCTCAATAGGACCCATCACTTTCAAATTAATTAGTTGATATGCCAATAATAAAATGAGGACAAAAGCTTTTGTAGCCATTGAAAAGTTTTGCACAATTGAATGATGTAGTTACTCAAGTAATTAATTTCCTTTGAATAATTGGTGTGTAGTTAGTTATTCTCAAATAATTACATTCTACCCTTCTTGGAGATACTCAAGTACTTTCCTCCAAAAATAAAATAAAATAAAAAGAAAAAGACAAATTTTGAAAGCATCAATTAAATTCTAAAAGAAAAAGATGGTGACCTCATACTTAGCTCATCATGCTATCAAGTCCTCCGTATGCATTAGTTGATATAAAACTTGGTAGGTAGGATCTTGGGTTTTAGAAGTTGTTAGGATTTAGGAATAAAGCATATTTAGAAGTAGTAACAAAATGGAGGGACAAAAAATAGAGGAAAAATAATTTCACACTGAAGAACAATTCCGGGAAGAAACCTCGAACATTAGAGATTTATCATATTATCAATAAAAAACGACTTAAATTGGACTGTGTTGGATATTTTGCGGAAATATGTGAACAAATTTGGCAAGAAAATAATTGTGGAGTGTGCATCTCCTCAATATTTTACTCTCGCTGAAACTTGTTTAATTACAAATGCAATCTCAATACAAATTTATACTAGTCTGGGCATAAGTAATACATGTACGACATTAAATAAGATTCATCGTGAATACTAGATAAACATGAATCTAACCATTCATGTATTTGCCTTTTCATTTATCCTATACATCATACATGCATTTGGATAATTCTAGAAAGTGCATTATATTTCAACGGAAGAACCAGTTGTGGTTTTAAAAAGAGACAATGTGACTATTTTTTCTTTTACCTAACGGGTAAAGGGAAAACGAATACCAGTTTCTCACCAAAACGAGATTGTGGTGTCGATGGAAACAGCGTCTCGGGAAGGGAATTGGATTTTAAGAAAGAGAAAAAAAGTAAAACTAACATGAAGCAAAATGGCAAATCAAGGTATCGAAAAACCTACTACTTTGCTTCACCAACTCCAAATGGGTGGGTGACCCAGATCCATTGCCATCCTTACTTATCGAATCAGTGTAAACCATCAACTAAAATTCTTGATTGAGCAATATACATCCGTCACCAACATTATAGCTAAGTTATATATACATTCGAGACATAAAAGCAAGTACACACTTAGGTTGTTTTTTTTAACTGATGCACAAGTCTTGCTACCATTAAAATAATTTGAAAAAAAAAAAAAAAGAAAAGACGAGGTTTCTGATGCCTACACAGTAATCGGTTGATGTTTGAAATCATCCCTAACCACAAACTTATTACGAAAAAAAAAACCCTAACAAATAAAAAAAGTTATATATAAACTTACCGAAACCACTCTAAATGCCTACCACCCACCATCTTCTATTAACACGAGAGATCTCCACATCACGATAAACATGTTTTATTATTATTAATTCAATTAAACGGCATGAATTGGATTGTGACTAGAATTGATGCCCGAATTACCAGGAGCTGGATTAGCCTGAAAAGCCGACGGCCTTGTAGTGGATCCTTCGTTCAGCTTAAGCGACAGTGTCGATGGTCCGCTATCACCCAAAGATTCCCCTAAGCTTAGTTGTTTCGACATTCCGACTAATTCATCCACGTTAATCGGGGTTTTGGAATGGACAGCTGTCGGTTTCACCACTTCATGTGCTTCTTCTTTAGCGGGCTCCGTTTCATATCCGGGCCAGAACTGGACGGGGAATGGATAGAGTGGGGCCGCCACGTAGGCGGGGTACATGAGAGGGTATGGATATTGTGGGGCCACGGCCCCCTCTTGCATCTGCTGAGGTGGCAGAACCTCGCCATCGTTGGAATTTGCAGACTCCATAGATTCGCATTCCTCGTCCGGTACGTGTGTGCTGCTTTGTGCCTCAGTTTGTGGAATGTTCACGGGGAAGAAATCACTTGTCATCACTGTAGTATCGACTGACTGAAGTATGAAAAACAAAAATTATTATTATGATTAAATTAGATTCATAATCAAGAAATATCACATAGAGCCCGTTTGGCTAATCTTATTTTAAACAACTGATAAGTTGTTATCTGATGAATTGTTAGTTGTTTTAAAAGCTGATAAGTTATGTTTATTTTTAGAATTAATTTTTGAAGTGGTTGGATAATAAGCTTATAAGTTATGTTTATTGTTTCTAAAATCTTGAAAAAATAATGGTATAAGTAGTTTGTAAGAACAATCTTGTAAGCTACGCTTTCCAGCAGCTTATTTTTTGAATTTTTCAGATCTTTTTGAAAAAAATTACTAAACAATATGAAAGAGCTTATAAGCTCTGAAACATCTTATAAGTTGTTTTTGACAGCTTATAAACTTAGCGCAACACCCTCATAATAGTTAGAAAAAGGATAATGAATAAAAAATGCTTACTTCATCTGCGACAATATCGAATAAGCTCGAGCGTCTTTTTCTTCGAGAGACATTACTTTGCCTAATGAAGTATTTCTGGGCATGGCTAGCAACTTGAGTAGGTGTTCTAGACATTACGTAATTACGTGCAATTCCACGCCAGTCACCTTTACCAAGCTTCTGCAAACCAACCAGAAACAACCTATGTTCTTCTTCGGTCCATGGCACACCTGCGTAAATAAAAATAATACCATTTTAAATTCACATCAACACAAAAAAATTTGAAAATTAAAGTTTAAACATAATATAGTTGAAGTGATGAACAAGAACAGATTACCAGGATGTTGAATAGCTATGCTTAATTCAAACTAAAGAATCTATGAAATGGCAAACAGTCAAACGTACAAATCTACGGTAGTAAAAGTTTCATTGCTTCCAATTCATGTTTTCACTATGTATAACATTTCAAGCAGTCAGTCAGCTCATGGCATACTAAAAGTTAAAAACAAAATTTGCAGGATAGGTTGGGAAATTAAATCAAATAACAAACAATATAAACACATCGGAACATTTGCATGCACATCTAGACAACATCCTATTATACTTCCGAAAAAGAAACTCCTAAAACAATAATCACATGTACAACAAGAGAAATAGCCATGGTTCGTAGTGATTAAATCAAGTGACCGATGAGTTTTTCTTTTCATTTCGTATACTGTTTGAAAGTATAAAGACCAGTTTCATTCTTTTCAAGCATTTATATCAAGATTCCCAAATGTGACAATCAAAAAGTTCCGATTCCCAAATGTGACCATCAAAAAGTTTCAAAGGTGCAGTAAAAAACAACTTGTTCAGTTGTTCATCAAAATCAACTTTACATATTCAAATAAATATTCAAGAAACACATCAATAGCAGATACATACATGCTGCAAACAGATTGATGGGCATTTCGAGAAATATATGTGCAAGAAATTATACAACGGGTCGCATAATTATCGAAATTCCTCATATAAATTATATAAAACATAAAATTAAGGCAGATAAACGGACATTATCAACCACAAGCGAACAAATTTTCCTATGGGAGTGATACATATGATACATAGATTAAAATAGATTAAAATGACTCTTATCCAAAATCTCAAACAATTCATATTAGAATTCACAGGCGAATTCTCATTCAGTTCATCAATCATAAATCAATTTTGTTTTTTTTTTTTTCTAAAAATCCTGATCCGAATTAGATCCAAACACCAAATTTTACAACACAAATTAGTCCTTAATAAACACAGCATACGCATTAAACACAATTAATTTAAATTAAAAGCAAAATACTAAATTAAAATAAAATAAAAAAGACCTTTCTTCCTCTCACGGCTGGAGGAGGAGCCGGCGACAAAGTCTTCAGAAGCATAACCATCAGCGGCGGCAGAGCCAGCAGAAGGATGGTCGGGGGTGCCACCAGGAGAGTCATGTGCGAGGCCATTTTGAGGGGTTGCGTTTCCACTACCACCACCGCCGCCGCCCATATAATGGGTCAAGTTACCCATACTAGCACTCTTCCGGATCGACCCATCAGTCAATCGGACCCCAAAAAGCTTCACCCCTCGATTAGGGCACGTCCGAGAATTATGCCCGTTATTGCTGCAATGCGAGCACCTCCTCGTCATTGCCCCCGATTCAAATTGAAAATTCAACACACCCAAATTGGTCGGATTGCCACGAATCGGATCCTTTCTACAAGATCCGAGATGACATGGATTTTTTTTATATATTATATTGGGGTTCGCTTTGTTGTGTTGTGTTTCTCGTGTTGTTTTTTTTTGCCTAAAACGAAGCTGCTGTGTGTTTGGGTAGATAGATATATACAGATATAGATACAGAGAGAGAGAGAGAGAATAGGGAGATAGGAGAGAGAGAGGAGAGAGACACGGAGATGAAAGGAAAAGAAGATGTGGGCGAATTTGTGTGTAGTGTAATATAATATATGGGTGAGGTTTGTTGAGTGAAGAAACAAAGAAATAAATGTAGGTTTTCCGTAGCTAAGGCCGAGGAGATAATATAATTACCAAATCTTCAATTCAATGTGGACTCTCCTCCCCTACACGGTCTAGTTTTTGCTTTATCCAATTAATTACATTTAGGGTAAATTACGCTGCTCTTCTGAAATAAGGTTAAATTACGAAAATACCCCTCTTGTTTGGTTAATTATAACCACCTCTCGACTTTGATTATTCTTATATGTTCATCCCTGCGGTGTCAAATTTAGTAGAATCTTCTACATTATGTAGAATGTTCTCCAATTTGTACCTGTTTTACCTCATTCAGCTCCACATTCTGAAACAAAATGATCCTAAACTGTGTCTCTTGGCTTGTAAATATCTGATTGTGGTGCACTTAAAACTGCATTTTTCCACAAAACGAGTACAAACTAGAGAATACAGAATTTAGAAGATTCAATTAAATTTGACACGATAAGGGTGGACGTGTAATTATCCAAACACGGGGTATTTTTGTAATTTCATATTACCTCATAATTAACATCACAAAACACCTAATCCTCGTTGATACCATGTATATCTATAGATTTAGGTATAATGATTGATGATATTATTTCAATCATTTAATGCTTATTGCTCATTTGTTTAAATGGTTATTAAAATCGGAGTCATTGAAATCGGATCGAATTTTTGGATCTTCACAAATTAGCTACTAAATTAAGAACCTTTTTTTATTTGTTTAAATAACTAAAAATGGTATCATATTAAAATCAAATCGGAACGTTGGATCCTTACGAAACAACTATTAAATCGCGAGTTTTATGTTTTAATTTCAATGTGACTGAATTGATGTACAAAATTTATACGCCACTATGTATTTCTTTTTTACCGAATTAATCTAATACCCTATAAATTTCAAAATGTTTTTCTTTTTAGGATGAATTTCGAAAAATTTAAACTGAATGGTAATGGTAGAATATTGTACCTTAAAAAAAACAAATTGTATATAGCGATGGTACTTAATATCAATATATTTTTTTTATTGTCCTAATGTACCGAAATATTATTAATAGACAAATATAGTTATGTTTTCATGAAGTTCATTGTATTATTTAGTATGTAAAACATATATTAGGTGTGATCACTACTAATGATGTAATTCGTGCAAATAGTTATTATAAATTTAATTTAGAATTAATTTATATTAGGTGAGTTAATTTTTTAATATTAATTAAGAATATTTATCTCTTGAATGATAATATTTTACATGTAAAAAGTATATTTATGCCTTCAACTGAAAAAAAAAACATAAAATTCAATTTCATTCAAATAGAATTATTTAAGTGAAAGTTGTCTTAATATATATTAGAACGATTCCTAAAAATATCGAGATCCACACAGAAAAATGTTCCGTCAAAGATCGTGTTGTGTGAATGGAAGAATCCCACCAAAATGAATATTTTAATGGGGATAAACATTTTAAGAAGATTAAAGCAATTCCAGTGGTACACATTCAAATAGAGTATCAAACATCCAATTGATACATAATATACTACTTTGATATTTTCAGAAAAAAAATTTATGTCCCAACGTTCCATAGATATCAAATACATTATTACTGCCCATATGGGTATAGATCAACTAGTTTCAAAGCGGTAAGTTGATACAAAGTTCTAGGATGAGGGCGAGAGATTTCACTTTTTGATAAAAATACATTATTACTTAAATTAAAAACAGATTAAAATAAAATTGAATTAATAAAATTAATAGATATATGCAATCTCTGTTATGTAGGAATTTTTTGAGATTTTAATTTTTGTCCGATTGAAATTACGGTTCCTACAAATATTAAGAAATATTTGATTCTTTTTTTCTAGATGATTAATTTTTTCTAGAGTGCATTTTTGCATCTCAATGAGGTGAAATATTGAAAAAACTACTCCTTTTATACCCTTATTGGAGAGGGATTTTGTATACTGAAGTATCAAAATGATAGTTTTATTATTTGATACTTGTTGGGGCTAAATACCTAAAACGCAAGTGCACGTATCGCAAACAAGTAGTAAAAGTGGACTCGTGAGAGTCGGATGTCGATCCCACAGGGAATACTCAAATTATCTAATTCTAAGTACAAAATTCTAACAATTATGATTTTTATCCAGCCTACGCAAGGTTGTCAAATTTAATAAACTAAATAATTAAACTAATTATGAAAGCAAATAAACACGAGAAAATATCAATAAACCCCCTATGCAAGAATTGCTCACCCAAAATCCCTCAATTATGAAATATATGATTCATGATTATTAACCCGAGACACTAATTTACTCATAACCTGCTGTCGCGTGTATTATGAGTCTATTATTAATAAACGGTTCACTATATGTCTATGCAAACAAATTATGATTAAAGCATTAACTAACAAGTCTCGTAAATGGCTACCTAAGGTGATATCTGTATGTCTACGACACCATATGCAATTGACACACTCATCCGGTGAAAACTACTCGAAGGTTCTTATACTTACCGTCTAATTATCAAAATAGCTCTGTCGAGTCAATCCCAATAATCACAGATAAAGCACATAAATTGATCAAGTTCATGCACTAACAATCATAACAAGTATACGAAATAATCATAAAATCATAATTGCATAATCTCAAGAAAACGGGTTCACCATCCCCACATAGGGTTCCAACAAAATCCTAGATTAAAAACTTAGCTACTCATGTTCTCTACTAAAAACATAATAGAAATATAAAAAGACATAGATTAATTAGACAAAAGAAGAATTGTGATGAAGATTTGTCAATTCTCCGTCTTCGATTTTTCGTTCTCTCGCTCCTCTCGCTCCAAGGTTGTGTCAAAAGTCCTTTAATTCGTGCTTGGTTTGCCCTTAAATAGATGTCCCAACTTGGTAGATGATTCTAGGTTTCCTTGTGTGATTAAAAGTCCAAAATTGTCTCCAGCGTGTTTTGGCGCGGCCGCGCGAAAATCAGTCAAAATCTCACACAGCCGCACGAGAATCGCCGAAACCTTCTGCCCAACTTCTGGAGTTGGCACGGCCGTGCCAAAAATAGGCTAAATTTGGCACGGCCGCGCGGGCATTTTTCAGCCAATTTTCAGCATATTTTATTTTCTTCCGTTTTTGCCCGTTTTTGACCTTTTTTGGATTGTTTCGTCCTTGGAACTTCCAAATCGTCAAGTTGTACCTAAAATACAATAAACCACTCATTAAGCATCATTAAATTAATAAAAGTATACAAAAATTCTCGTAAGAAAGTATACATTGAGTGTAAAATATACACTCAACAATACTCCATTTAGTCCCACCTTCATTGGAAATGATCTAAACATTAACATTGTAACAGATAAACATTACAAAGTACTTAAATAAAACTTTAAAATAAGAGTCATTATATCAAAGGGTAATTTGCCATAGGCCCCTCTATATTATAAATTATAATTTAAGTCTATAAATCCAAGTCAAAATCCGCATATTTTAATAAATTAATTATATTCATTGTAGCAAAAATACCTTTAATTAAATCCCCAAAAAAATTCTTTATCAAAATAAATTTCCCCAAACATCTCTCTTCCAAACTTAACTAAAAAATAAAATTAATTCGTAAAAAAAAGAATACTTTATTACACAAACTCATACTCTAAAAAAACCACCGCCGCATCGCCACCGCCGTTGACTCTCTGAACTGCAAATAGCAAAATGAAATTAGAATTTGAATATATAATTGCAAACAACAAACTACCTATGATTTCGGCAAATACAAACAGTAAACTGAATAAAAAAAATATCCAAAATTTATATTATTGAATTGCAAACAACAAACTACCTGGATTTCGTCATGCAAACAACAAACTAAAGAAAAAAATTAATAGAATTTGCATTATTGAATTGCAAACAACAAACTAGCAAAACAAAAAATTGAAGAAAAAAATCAACATCATTAAAAACATCAACAACAAAATTGTATATGGAACACTTTGCAAACAAACAAAAATAGCAAAAAAAATGTTTGCAAAATGTAACTTAAAACATACATTGCAAATTGTAAACCACGGCGATCAAATCTCAACACCAAAAACAATCCTTCAAACAACAAACGAAGTGAACCCAACCTAAAAAGGAAAATTGATAACAACAAATGATGGGAAGGTTCTACATACGGAACACGCAATGCGAATTTTGGCTAGGATTTTGAATTTCTAAAATTCGTTTTTTTTTCTTCTTTGGGAGGGGCTTGGAGGGTGATATTTGTTCTCCGCTCTTAACTCTTTCACCAAGAAATCATCTCATAAAATAAAAAGCTCTCTTAATTATTCATCTCCATAATATTTCTTCAACAAAAAAAAATGGAATTCAAAAGAAAAGAAAAAAAAATTAAAAAGAAAACGAGACATGGGAGAGAGAGAGAGAGAAAGAGACGAGATACAGATGGAGGAAGGGGGAGAGAACTAGAGAAATGGGAGATTAAATATATGGAGAAAAATACATGAGATTGGAGAGAGATGAAAATTGATATGTGAGATTTGTGTTCGTATTAAACGGGGTGTTTATGTTTATATACTAATTATTTTATTTTATTTTTATTATTTTTTTGGGTCAAAGGATCTATGCCTATATTCATCTAACTACTAGGATCTTTACCTATATAAGTCGAGGTGTCTAGCAAATCCCCCCTTATATAAATGCCCCTATAAAAGAGTTTATTAGTGAGAACTCCCGCACACATTTGGATGTATAGTTAAACCTCTATAGATTATTACAGTTCAGACAATCAAAATCCTATTAATTTAGCAGAGTATTAATTTATCGATAAATTAATAAGTATTAAGTTATACATTAATTAATAACTTATCAATTTATATATGAAATTATTGTTATTATTATTTTCTTTAAATAATTTTTATTTTATTTTTTTACATATATAGTAGTTATTGTACCATTAGTTCACTGTATTTTAGATTCAATGTATACCATTTATGCAATTATTTTAGTGTGCAATGTATTTCATTTATTCAATGTAGTTGATAATTCAATGTCAACGCACATCTTATCCCAATTTATGAATATACATTAATGAAACTCTATTTGAACACAAAAGTTTATGGGAATAAATATTGCATCACAGAAATATACATTAATGAAACTCTAT